GGAGGGATATTCACAGAGCAAGAACAGTTAAGATGGCAGGGTGGGGTGAGGAGTATTCACAATATCATAGTAACAGTTAAGATGGGAGACACTTAATGTCCAGGGAAAGCTGCGCTGGGCTGGGTGATCAGGGATAATGGCAAACGCAGCAGGTGGAAGGTGGGGGGTGGAGGGGCTGTCGACTCTGGGGAGGATGTGTTCCCGGGGTGCAGAGAATGGGAGTGGAGCCGTTGAATTGATATGTGGAAATGCAGTTGGTGAGGCCAAAGGTGCAGGCTAACCAAGTGGTAGCTGGGGCCCGACAGTAGAGGTTTGTACCATTAAAGTCGCACTGTGGGAGACGTTACAATAGTGCCCATAGGGAGAACCTGCAAGGGTGTAATTTGGGGAGTGGTAGCAGTGCCCAGACTCTTCTATGTCTCCTGGGTTTAAATGGAGTGTGGCTTGGGAGCATGAAGAAATGGACAGGTTGGCAGGTAATTGGGAAGCTAACCCGGCATAAGATGGTGGTTGAGGGTTTAGACAGAGCCAACAGTTTTCCCCAAATCTGGGTTAGATTTGTTGAGGAAGTGGTGAGCCGAGGACAACAAGGTTAGCAGGGTTGTGTCCTCTTTGAGCAGAGTTGGGGTTGTAAGGGAAGGTCATTGAGGGGGAGTATTGTTTGTCTGGATGAGGGGGCTTTGTATATTTAGGGGGGCTTCTTGTTGTTGTATGACCTGAGTAATGGGTCCTATAGGGTGTTTGGGTTGGGGCGGGGTTATACGCTGAATGGTAAAGATGTTTCCCATGTCCCACCCACTCATGTATACCCTGAGACCCCAGGTCCGTCCCGTGTTCCACTTACTATCAGGGGTTTTTACGGTTACTCGAAGTGGGTTGCAAGACCCGGCGGAACATGGGGATGGAGGAGACACTCGCTGAAGGGAAATGAAAGAGTCTGTGTTTTGGTTGTATCCTGATATGGTGGAGATAGTTTCACAACCCCAATAGGGGCAAAAGAACTCACTTAAGTCTCCACAGTTCCATCTTTTTTGGGGGGTGGATCCTGGGCACAGATATAATCCCATGGTCTGGAGTTGTCGCTCTGCCCCTGAACTGCCGCACCCAGCTATACTTCCACTTGTTCTGAAATTTAGGTTTGGGCCCAGGAGGGCACAGAGGTCTAGGGAGAAGGTAATGGGGTTGTTTGGAATGTACTCCAGGGTTAAGTTGACTAGGGTGGATCCCTCCCCGGTTAAGGAACTAACATATTCTCCAGTAGAGCCCTCGGTGAGGACCCATTGATAGTAGGTGGGTTCTAAGTGGGGTTTGCTATAGGGATTTACAGCATGGATTAGGGTGGCAAAGGTGGTAACCGCGAAGAGCACACAAGTCTTAGCTTTAGTGAATCGGGGGATGAGTGGTTGATGCTCCATTGTTCTTCTGGTGGGGCAGCCTTGACGTGTGTGATGAATCCAGGCAGTTAGTCCATCCACCTTGAGTGTGGTGGGCGTGGTCAGGATAACCGTGCAGGGTCCCTTCCAATGGAGGGTGAGGCCGGAGGTGGCGAATCTTTTAACAAGAACAGAGTCTCCAGGCTGGAAGGGGGTGTGTTGGCTGGTCTACAAGGTCCAATTGGGTGGAACGGGTGTCCTTAATGAGCTGATGTACCTGGGATTGAACAGACGGAAGTGCCTGTAAGGACTTAAGGAGTGTATAGTTATGGACTTCAGCATGCACAGTATCTGCGGGTCTGGGGAGTAAGGAAGGGGGCCTGCTGAACATGATTTCAAAAGGGTAGAGGCCTTTCTGATAGGGTGTGCATTGGACACAGAGAACAAAAGGAAGCAGACTGACCCAGCTTTCACCAGTCTCTAGGATAAACTTTGTCAGGGTTTCTTTTAGGGTCCGGATCATTCGTTCAACTTGTCCTGAACTCTGGGGATGATAGGTGCAGTGTAATTTCCAGGATACACCCAGCGCCTTGGCTAGGCCCTGAGAAATTTGTGCAGTAAAGGCGGGCCCATTGTCTGATCCCAGCGTTAGAGGGAGGCTGAACCAAAGAACAAGGTCTTGTAATAGTTTTTTTGTGACCACTAAAGCAGTCTTGGACTTACTGGGGAAGGCCTTGACCCATCCAGAGAACATATCTATAAACACAAGGAGGCATTTATAGCCATTTACTGGGGGTTTTATTTCAGTGAAATCTACTTCCCAGTGCTCCCCAGGGCTAGTCCTTCTGAGTCTCACTCCTACCTGGCTAGACCTCTTTCCTCCCAGATGTATTCGGGCACAGACACCACGCCGAGTAGTGATTTCCTTGATAAGCTCATGTAAGTGGGGAAGGTAGTACTTGGTTTTTAGTAGTTCAGTTAGTTTGGTTTGTCCGAAGTGAGTGGCCTGGTGTGTGTCCTTAACTAGGGCCCGTCCTAGAGCCTCAGGGACCACAATCTTTTGGTCTGGCAGAATTCACCATCCTGTGGAGCTCTGTGTGGCATCCTGTTCGTTTGCAAAGTTCTTCTCACCTGAGGAGTACGTGGGAGTAGGGGGCAGCACTGGGGCAGGCAGGGTCACAAGGAGGGTCAGTGGTTTCACTGGCCCATGGCTACCTGCCTGGCCTGTAAGTCAGCAGCCCTGTTTCCCATTGCCTCTGGTGAATTCCCCCTTTTGGTGTCCCTTGCAATGGAATAGTGCCACAGTCTTGGGCCTCCATTTAGCCTCCAGCAGGGCTAGAATTTCCTCCTTATTTTTAATGGCTTTTCCTTCCGAGGTAAGCAGTCCTCTTTCTTTATATATTGCTCCATGTGCATGAGCTGTAGCGAAGGCGTAACAGCTATTGGTACAAATAATGACAGTTTTTCCTTCTGCCCAGTTTAAGGCTTTTATCAGGACTATAATTTCAGCCTTTTGGGCTGAAGTCCCATGAGGAAGGGCCTGGGCCCAGATAACCTGCTCTAGGGTGACTACGGCTGCCCCCGCATACCTGACTCTGTTGACCATAAAACTGCTGCCATCCGTATACAGTACCTCTTCTGGGTTCCATAAGGGGACGTCGGTGAGGTCCGGTCAAGCAGTTTGGATGACATCTGTTATTTGTTGACAGTCATGTATGGATTCTCCTGGCTAACTGTTAGGCAGCAGTGTGGCCGGATTCAGGACTGTGGTCTTCAGGAACTTGATGTGGGGCTGGTCCAAGAGTACAGCCTGATACCGTACTATGTGGGCATTAGACATCCACCTTCCTGGAGCCCCACGGAGTAGTGATTCTACTGCATGGGGTGCCACTAGGTTTAATTCCTGCCCCAGAGTCAGTTTGTCCTCCTTCTTTACCAACAGGGCTGTTGCTGCCACGGACCGAAGGCAGGCTGGAAGGAAGGAAGTCTTTTTGATAGGTAGGCAACTGGCCTGGACAATGGTCCTAATGTCTGGGTGAGCACCCGCTTCATGGTTCCTTGTTTTTCATGTACAAACAACCGGAAGGGTTTAGAAATATCTGGCAAGGCCAGGGCTGGGGCCGAGGTTAGAGTGGCTTTAAGTTTATCAAAAGCCTGTTGTTCTACCACTATCCAAATGAGGGGTTGATTCGCTCCTGTGCAGGCATACAGAGGCTTGGCTATTTTGGCAAAACCTAAAATCCATAGCCTACAGTACCCTATCGCCCCAAGGAAGTCCCAAACTTGGCGTTTTGTGGTAGGGGTGGGTATCTGTAGTACCGCTTAGAGTCGGCTGGGCACCAGCACCTGGTTGCCCTTTTCTACAATATAGCCCAGGTAGTAACCTTTTATTGGCAGAGTTGGGCCTTTTTGGCTGAGACTCGATATTCCAGAGTTTGTAGGGTTAACAGTAACAACTGGGTGGTTTCCTTGCAGGCCTCTTGGGTTCTGGAGGCCAGAAGTAAGTCATCTACATATTGGAGTAGAGTGCACTCAGGGAACTCGGCCCAGAAGGTGGCAAGATCCTGGCTAAGTGCCTCATCAAATAGGGTGGGAGAGTTCTTGAATCCCTGAGGTAGCTAGGTCCACATGAGTTGCCCCGAGTCCCCAGTGTCCAGGTCCGTCCATCCGTCCACTCAAAGGCAAATGTGGGTCTGCTGACTGGGGCCAGTGGGATGCAGAAGAATGCATCCTTGAGGTCCAGGATGGTATAGTAATGGTGCTTCGGGTTCAGGAGGCTTAGGAGTGTATATGGATTTGGTACCATGGGGTGGACAATTTTCATTCTTTTATTCACTTCCCTTAAGTCCTGTACTGGCTGGTAATCCTTTGTGCCAGGTTTTAAAATAGGGAGCAGAGGGGTGTTCCAGGGTGACTTACAGGTGGTCAGAATTCCTCCTTTCAGGAGTCTTGTTATGTACGGAGCAATTCCCCGCCTTGCTTCCTGACTCATTGGGTGTTGCCTTACCTGGACCGGAGCTGTTGTCGCTAACAGTTGGACCACAACTAGGGTATGGTGTTCTGCCAGACCTGGGGGATTGCTCTCAGCCCACACTCTGGGCACACTCTCCTGGATTGGTGGAGAAGGTCTGTCGTTGACGCCTGATTTGTTTCCAGTGATAAAGCTTCCTGCAAGAGATACTCATCTGACAGAGCACAAGTGATGAGGATTTGCTGAAGTGCTTTTGATATGGAGGGCAAAGCAGGGATAGAGAGGCAGGCCTGATTTTCGCAGAAGATGGTTGCTTGAAGTTTGTGAAGTAGGTCCCACCCTAATAGCGGGTAAGGGCATTCTGGAAGAACTAAGAAGGAATGGGTAATGGTGCCATTTCCTAAGTCATTTTGAGTGAATGTCGGCCAAGTGGTCGCCCGTTCATCACAGGGCCGGAACTCTGGGTCCCTGGAATGTCTCGGGGGTACCTCCCCTAAAGATCCCTGAGGCAGGAGCAGCCATTGGGAGAGGCTCTAAGGGCTTTTGTCTGAGCGATGATGTAAAAGATGAAAGAAATGGAATATCTCGTAGCGAGTGCAAAATCACCACTGAGACAAAGACTAGGCCAAATTACAGGGTCTTCATTGCCGGCAGCCATGGAGGACTCATGTCTCCCTAACCCATGGCCCCAAAAGGAGGGTATCAAGACCTTTTATGCCTGTAAGACACCTCCTGGGTGGCGGTGAGGGCAAGGGGCTTTGGACAATCTGATTGTTACTTAAGTGGTTCACAGAAGTCAAGATAAGCATGAGTTTACACATTGTCTGGGTAGAGTGGAAAATTACAGACCTTAGTTACTTATTACAAGTCTTAGTTTTTCTTAAAATGGTGCAGGGGCCAAAATGGCATTGGTTTGGACTGCTTGCCTGTCACATTAGGGCTACAGAGAACAGTTTCAATGGAAAGCCGAGGTATGGTTGAGGTATGCAGTTTATGGGGCAATTTCCATGTCACACTTCCAGTTTAGAAGGTCGGTAGTCGTTAAAGGCTGGTGGATGAAGGCTCATTGCCCTCCTTGAATCTGACCAGTCTCATCATCATAGAGGGGTCCCCGAGTTTCCGGGAGGAATGTCTGCAAAGCTGCAAAGACCCGAGGCAGCTTGCCTGATCACCCTGATCTTCTTCCCTGTTCTCCTGGGACAGTGGTTCTGGTTTCTCCTTTTGGGGTGAAACCTGGGGCTCGCTATCCTCTGAACTTGACTTCTTGGGGGTCAGCTGGGCCAGCTTTGGTAAAGGGGGGTAGATTGAGGTGTAAGGAGGAGGCATTTCTATCTCCTCTGGTGGTTCCTGCAAAACCTGTTTTTCCTGTTTCCCCTCTGGCTTTTCCTTTGTCTCTGAAGCTCCCGGCAAAGCTGACCCTTCCCTTATTTCTAGGCTGGGCTGTAACCAAGCAGGTTGGGTTTGGACTATATTCAGCCATGAGTCAATATAAGGAAGCTGGTCTGGATGCCCTGGCTGTCCTTCGACCCCAATCACCACTTGACAGACACGGCAAATCTTTTCCCTATCCAATGTCCCTTGGCCAGCCATCTGACATTAAAATAAGGCCATTCTATTTCACAAAGGGTTCTTAACCTCTGGGGGGTTAACTTGATTCTACAGTCCCACCTATAACCACTCGTAAAGTTCTCTAACACATTCCAGTGGGGTGGGTTTCGATGAATTCCCTCCCATTTCCTCCCAGTTCATGGTGCCACGCACACTCTCTTACTTTTGCTTCAGACCGAACACACCACTGCCCTCATTCACACACTTCCCCGCTCCCAGGTCCTCTTGTCACTGTAGGGTGTAGGTTTGGTCTGACTTTGTGAGCCACTCCCATGTCCTGGGTCGGATTACCCGGTACCCCTGCCACCCTGGAGTTGATCAGGCTCCCCTTCTGTCCTTATGGGACAGGTCCTGCCTGAGTCCCCAAATCTTACCTCAGTCCTGCAGCGGGCTGTCCCCGGAATTGTCCTGTAGCCCCTTCGGTTCCGTTGCGCTGTCGGGGAGGGGTATCGGGTCACTGGAGAGTCTCTCCCACCTCGGGTACAAGTTGGCGAGATGGCACCCCTGAGGTCACAGGATTCCTCCGACTCGGGGCCCCAAACCCGGAGGCAAAGGAGACAATAAACCTGTCGTCTCCTTTCCCAGCCAATGCACCAGAAATGTTGCGGAAACTGAGGGACAGGAGACACCAATGAATGGAACAGGAGGATTTTATTAAGGTGGCCGCCGGCTCAGTGGACTAGCATCCCAAGGCTGAGGCCCAACAAAGACAGAGCCCACCTTTTATGTATGCGACCGTAGGGGGTCGGCCATCCAGTGGCGCGAAATTTGCAAGAAGGGAAGTGAGCTCACAGAGGCAGGACAAAGCAGTTTATCAAGCAGTGACAGCTGTTGCAGCTTGTCAAGGCTTGTGACCTGGGAAAACAGGAACTCACAGGACTTTGACAACTTTTGCAAAAACGCAGTTACTCGGCAGAACAAAGAACAGGCCTGGGAAATAAAGGGTACTTGTTAAACTTGCTCTTGTTAAAACGCATGCTCTGAGTGAAGAGTCCCCTAAACGGGCTTTGTGCGAGCCACATCGCTGTTTATTCACCCCGGTTCAGGTGGGGTGAGGCCGAAAATGGAGTGAGTGGAGGGCAGAGAGATAGAAGTTGGTTTTACCCCATTGTATGGGGTAAATCTTCCGACTATTTCATGTTTTCTAATTCTAGAAGACCCCCCCCAGAGGTGTATGTGCAGTCATGGGGGTCCCCATGCCGTCCACACCAGGGTCAGACCTTACAGTTCTTATCTCTGTTCCGAGATGAGAGGGGGACCCTGGAGCCTGTACTTGAAGGCTCTGGCTGTAGAGAGGCTGTCAGAGCTATGCCTATCTCTAGGCCTTGGGGTGAGCCAGCCCGGGAAACTTCTTTTTCTTTTTATTTCTGCTTCATTGTCAACCAGGCAGGAGTGCAATGACATGATCTCGGCTAACTGCAGCCTCTGCCTTCAGGGTTCAAGTAATCCTTTCACCTCAGCCTGTCAAGATGCTGGGACTACAGAAGCATGCCACCACGCCAGGCTTATTTATTTATTTATTTGTTTGTTTGTTTATTTTATTTAGTTTTGAGACAGAGTCTCACTCTGTCGCCCAGGCTGGAGTGCAATGGCACAGTCGTGGCTCACTGCAACCTCTGCCTACCAGGTTCAAGTGATTCTCATGCCTCAGATTCCCAGGTAGCTGGGACTACAGGCACACACCACCCCACCTGGCTCACTTTTGTATTTTTGGGAAAAGGTGGGGTTTCACTGTGTCGGCTAGGCTGGTCTTCATCTGTAATAGCCTAACTTGTGCTAGCCTAGTCCATCTTAGCCGCAAGCTTCAGCTTCGCTTCTTTCTCCCTGCCACAGCCCCCACAGGCGCATTACTAAGTCACGCTGCACTTAGAGCCTTAAACCGTTAAGGTTTGGGTTACGCTGTTCTCAGTACCTGTGAGGAAGGAGATCCAGGCATCTGGGATCAACTTCACCTTTGATTATCACACAGCATTTCCATAGAAGAAAAGGCTGACCGACTGACGCCGCCTGTTTCACCTTCCTGTAGGTGGCAGACTTGGTCTTGGGGAAAACTCTCCGGAAGACACTGTTTTTACTTAAAACAAGATCAAACCCTTGATTCCTGAAGCTGTAAACCCAGAAACCCTTTCATATGTGATTCCTAAAACTGTAAACCGAAATCCTTTCATATGTGATTTCTAAGGCTGTAAACCTAAGATTCTTCTGTAACATAGCTAGCCTAAAGTTAGAACCTGAGCAATGCCATTTTATACAAGACAAAGCTGTTTTCCAAAGTTAAGTTGTAATGACTGCCCCATTCTCCTCACAGCAACTGCTGGCCTTGGCTTCTGTAAATAAAACTGCTAGTTTGCTCTGCGAAATAACTACTATGTAAAGCTGCTTAAACTTTGCTTATCAGTAACTGCTCTCCGTGGCCCTAATGTGACAGGCAAGCAGTCCTAACCCACGCCATCTTGGCTCCCGCGACTTGTAATAAGTAACTAAAGTCTGTGATTTCCATCTTACCCAGATAATGTGTAAACAAATGTTTATCTTAACTTCTGCAAACCACTTAAGTAACAAACGGAATGACAAAAGTCACCTGGCCCTTGGAATATCCAGAGCCCTCATCTCCGCCCAGGAGGTGATTTACAGAATCCACTAGCCCTAGGAATGTCTGAAGCCTTTTGATCCCCATCCCCGCTCCTCACCCCCACTCCCAAGGTGGTTTTTTGGGTATAAAAAGTCTTGGCACCCTCCTTTCAACGCCACAGGTTGGAGAGACGTGAGTCCTCTGTGGCCGCCGGCATAATAAAGACCCTGCAATTTGGCATACTTTTGTCTTGGTGTTAATTTTCTATGCTCGGTCCAGTATAACACTTCCACCTGTAATATCTGAAGTATAACCCTATATAAAGGTAGAACCTTCCTTTGTTAAACGAGCTGGAATTTGGAACCATCACTCAGCTCCCGGCCGTAATATTAATAATATTAATAATGATAATAATAATAAAACCTTCCCTTCCCCATTTGGTGTTTGGGAGCTCTGTTTCTCGTGGCCACTCCTGCAACACCTGTAACCAAGGTAACTGTGTCCTGCTTGGCAAGTTTACCTGCTGTTGTAAATACTCCTCTTGTAATTAATTGTATCAAAAGTCCCCCCTGCTACCCCCTTTAATAATTGTTTGAAAGTACTCTTACTAACCAGCAACTGTGGGAACCTTCTGCCTCCTGGTTACCAGCCTCCTCCTACTAACTTGCTTGTTCTGCTTCTGTAAAATTCTACTTCAGCTAGGCTCCCGCTCCCCTTCTCTAAGCAAGGTATAAAAAAAAAAATGCAGCCCCTTCCTCAGGGCCAAAAAATTTGAAGCATAAGCTAACTCACGGTCGCTGGCATTAAAAAAGTCGCTGGCATTAAAAAACTTGTAATTCAAACTCAAAGTGTGGCATTTTCCATACAACTTGCTGGAGTATAACACATCTCCTGGCCTCAAGCCATTCACCCACCTCGACCTCCCAAAGTGCTGGAATTACAGGTGTCAGCTACCATGGCTGGCCT